GAGAGAGAGAGAGAGAGAGAGAGAGAGAGAGAGAGAGAGAGAGAGAGAGAGAGAGAGAGAGAAAGGAGGGCCGGGAGTTTGAAACACTGGTTTGTATGGATTGAATCAAATTAATCCGAAAGAGTAGACACAGAATATGCGAAACGTTTCGATAGGACTTCAATTAATAATACTGTCATCTGATATATCGACGAATATATTGTGTATAATCTCACTTCAAATGCATACTTTGTTCACAGTTTAAATCAATGCCGTTATTCCACCGAAAATACAAGACACAGATTTATAACCGGGTATTGAATGACAACTTTATATTTAAGGGAAATAATAAAAAAAGACAGTTATTAGGATTTTTGACAATTAAATTTATATAGTAATTGTTGTCATCAATTATCAAACATTTAAAATATCTCTAAATATTGATATTATGTCTGACAGAAAAAAAGTTATTTTCACTACAAAATTGTAATAATACAATATAGAAGTTTAATAGTAAGTAGAGAAGAATATAAGTTTAAAAACTCAACAATATTAATTATTGAATTTTTTATCACAACAACTTTGAATGTGTTTTCAGATGTGAATAATAGATATTATATTTATATATTGAAAATACATACACAATAAACAGACACAATAGACAGACAGACATAATAAAAGAATGCATTTCTTATATTTCGTTAATAACGCCTGAATTAAGATTGAAGTTCAAAACACATAGGATTTGCTGCAAATGACAAATAATTGCATTTTAATTAATGTCATAACTACTCTAAATTACAATGCCACAATGTTTTACAAATTCTTATACCTGGGCAATCTAGCTCTAATTGCCCTCGGGTTGTCCCGAATATACAGATAACAAAAATAGTTGTTTATGTATGAATAGATAGACATAACAAACCTCCGTATTCACAGCCATATTCATCGTCAGCAAAGTTTCTGAGACAGTCGTTGAATCCATTGCAGGTATAGTTGGTTCCGATGCAGCGCTCGACGACCTTTCCGTTCTCCGATAGAGTACAGGCAACTGTCGCCTCACGCCTGCATACACTTAAGCCTACAATTCATTAAATATGTGTTAGATTTATACTGTATTCTGATGTATAATTTACAGTAAAATATTATTTATATTATTTGCAATATATTTATAGCAAATTTAAATAAATAATTTTAAAACTATACTATAATTTGTTATTATCTGTCAAAATCTATTAAATGACTTAATTTAATAAATATTAATTTGTAAACACAGTGTTGTGTTAATTATGGAAATTTTATTTTGATAATTATTAGTCAATTTTGTGCACTAATTATAGCCATCAAAATAAATACAAATCTCATTTGCAATTCTAATTATATTAGAAATAAAAGCAAAAATATTGTTCACAAATGTACTAATAGTAGAAATTGCATATAAATACAGTTTAATAAAAAAAATGTGATATGATATAAGGATTTTGCTCTCGTATTATAAATAGATTTATATTCTTTGATAAAAATGTGAAAATTTCTAATTTTAGTTTTTTATATGAAAAATATTTGACACTTTTATATGATTTACTATTAGCAGATAAATTGAAAAAATATTTGTAATACGAGTTGCGATGCATTAATGGATGTTTAGTATCATATTGAAGCTGAGCTTAATTACAGAGATATCCCAAACTTATTAGGGATTAGTTTAATTTGATATAAGATGAGGGAAATCAATAAACGTATTGATAAAGGCATGGATTTATCAATTAAGAAATGGTTAATAGAAAGAATACAAATTTACTAAATATAAAAATTTTATCGTTGTTTTAGACAATAAAATCACTGACAATGGATTCATTGCCACATAATTCTTGTTTTTAATTTTCTCTGTCATCTCCTGTTTTGTGCGAAATGCTATTACACTTTATATGAACTCATTTTATTCATTAAAATACTATTAAATGGGAAATTCTGTATTACATACTGTAGAGTCTATATATAAAATATGTAGCATTTATAGCATTTCTTATTATTATAATAAAATATAATGTATTTTATGATTTAATATCATTAATAATCTTAGTTTTTATTATTGTTTCATCAATTTCTAACAATAAAGATCTTCAAAGATAATGGACTGCATTGTATTGCATTGTATTTCATTGATTTAACTGAAATGTCTTTAGGAAGTAATGCAAAAAGTGGTACAGAATTCACAAAAAAAAGTTAGAAATAAATCAACAAAACATGAAGTCTAGTAAACAAATAAAATGATTGTATGATATTATATAGAAAACTGATTTTATATTCTTAACACATTATTGCTATAACGTCAAGAATGATAAAAATATTCTGTATTAAACAATTGCAATATTTTGGTGTTTTTGCATTAAATGTAATTTAAATATTTGTATCGCAAATCCTTTCTAAATTGAATTCAACCCGATTTGTGTAGCACTTTATTTTTTGTGTATAAATATCCATAAATTATGGACCATAATAATTGAGTTACAATAACAAACTCATAAGGCATACAAAGAAAACATATGTTCATAAAATTCCCAAAAAAGTGTCCGAAAAGTTTGATATTATTGTCGACACAAGAATATCGCATATTTATGACAGAAATGGGTCGACAAAAGTGTCTTACCGTTAATTTTGGTGTAATAATGGGAGCACTGGTCAAGAGATTCATCTTCACAAGTGGCCGCACAATCGCATTGAGTGTCACACAGATTGCCCTTTGGTATGCACCGGGAATTTGAGCACCGGTACTCGTAATTTGTACAGTTTCTACCTGTTGGTAACAAATGACATTTATTCACATTAGTTCTCAACTGTGAAAAATTTAAAACTGCTATTTTTTGGTCAACGTTTCAAAAGTCATTTTACGCTTAATACTATGTTTATGGAGATATAGTGTATATTTTTGTAGACTAAATACTATCTTAAGTTATATTTGTTTATTATTGTATTACTGTATAATGAATTAGAATTTATATCAAGAATTAATGAATAGAATTTCCGGCTTTTATTGTTCAACATTTGATTAAATTTTCCAAACAAAAAATATATTTTCTCACTTTAAATAATAAACAAATGCAAAGAATTATTATAGAAATGTTGTCAATACGTGAATTCAATGCAATTCATTGTATATTGAAATGTCATTCAAATGTAAAACATTTTATAGTGGATGTCATTAAACTGTTTCTCTATTATGTTTGAAAGCTTACATTCTTGACAATTGCTGTAAACATTTTAGACGTTTTCTCTTATTTATTTAAATCTTATTCACTTACTTATCAAATATTTTGTTTAAACATGCTCTTTCTTTATTCAATTATCTTCGTTTACTCTCTCTCTCTCTCTCTCTCTCTCTCTCT